ACCATTCAGATATCAGGACAATACCAAGAGCCAGCATCTGCTCCTGACCAGCATCGGCACTGATTCCTCCTGCAAATGCATTCCCACCTCTCCCAAGTGGAGAGGGAAGATGTCTGAGTGAAGCTCATTTCCACTGCCCATAGTCCCACTTGCTTAGCTTGTTTTCTAGGGACTAAATTATAAAATTAACAGCACCTAGTGAGTTAGTGGTGGTTAACTGAGCGACAAGGAAGAAAAGGACGAGTGGGTAGAACTCCTGCTCTGTCCCCACCCATCCCAGGTGTCTCCTGGGCCTTTCGGGTTCTTCCCTCTGAGGTCACCCCATCTTTTCTGTGCTCTAGCCGTGCCACTGCTGCCCAGGGCCCTCCTGGTGAGGCGCCCTTGCGGGGCACCAGACGCATGGTCTCCAGGTGATCCTGCTTGTATGACGTTGCTACTGTCTTTTGGGGGTATTTCTTGATTTTTAAAATGGTGGTAAACTAACGGTGACATAAAACTTACATTTAAGGATTTGTGAGCGTGTGATTCAGTGGCATAAAGTATCTCCATAGTGATGTGTGGCCAGCACCACTATTCTTTCCAGAACCTTCCATCCCACTAAACAGAAACTGTACCACTTAAGCATGCCTCCTCCCTGCCACCCCTCCCCACAACAGTCCCCGGTGACCTCTACTCTACTTTCTTTCTCTGAATGGGCATATTTTGGGTTCTTCATTCAAGTGGAACTGTAAATATTTGCTCTTTGGTGTCTGCTTGTTTTATGTAGCATGGTATTTTCTTTGGTTGTGGGGACTGCACCCAGGGACACTTTAGCAATGAGCTACAGCTCAGAAGTTTGTATATTTCACTTTGAAACAGGGTCTTACTAAATTTCCCAGGCGGACCTCAAACTTGCAATCCTCCTGCCTCAGTTCCCTGAGTGGTTGGGATCACAGGCGTGAGCCACGGCACCTGGCGGAGCATGAGGTTTGCAGGTTCACTGACGTTGTGGTGAACATCAGGATTTCATTCCTTTTTATGGACGGGTGACATTTTACTGCCCTTTAGCACATGAGCCTCCGGGGGACACGGCATTTTGTCTATCCATGGGTCTGCTGACGGACACCGGCTGTCCACCCATGGAGTGCTGGGGCACGGGAACCTCTTGAGCCCTGCTCTCTACACTTGGGACGTGAACCTCGGTGGAACTGCTGCATCACAGGTCCCTGCGTGCCCAGCGTCGGGGTTGCCCGAGGGCTTCCACAGAGGCCGCTCCACGTGACATTCCCACGGGCAGTGCCCCGGGCTCTGGTTCCTCCACGTTCCCATTTAAAAAAAATGTGTTCCAGAATCCAAAAGAGGAAATAACAGCTTCCGCACAACAGACACAGGGCCGCATCTGAACAGGGCCCGCCTCCGGGTTTCACCCAGGCCAAGAGGTGAGCGGTGAGGGAGGTCCTGAGGAGACGCTCGGGGCCCTCTGTTGTTGGAGATGAGTCAAGCCACAGTGAGACCCACCTCTGCACCTCCTGGCAGAGTGTGGAGGGCATGGTGGAAGGGAGTGGGGAGCGAGGGTAGGGACAGAGGGTCCAGAGACAAGCTGTGCCCTTGGAAGGCACCCCCCCCCCCAGTGCTCTGCTGCCTCCAACTGAGCCCCGTCTCCTCATGACCTATTCAGCAGTGGACTTACCAACCTGCCACTCCACGGGCACGGTCAGAGCCCTGGTGACCCACTCACTTCCCCAGAGCCCACCTCGGCACATGGCTGAATTGGGGACCAGCCCTTTAGCACACGAGCCTCTGGGGTACACTTCAAGATGATTTTTTTGGTGGCAGGTACTGAGGATTGCAGCCAGGGCCTCCAGCGCCCTGGGCACATGCACACCCACACTGCAGCAGGCCCACACTGGTGAGCAAGCATCTTCAGCACACGTATCTTATCACATAAGAAGCAACTGCGGGCAGAGTGACCCCAGCCATGCCCACGTGAAGGCCGGTGAGGACAAGACGAGCCCTCTGTGGTGAAAATGGCCCAGCGTAACGGCCTACCCCGTGCCTTTGTTTTATCGCCCTCTCTGGGCTCAGCCTCGGTTTCTTCTCCTGGAGCTGGGCCTCCCCACCTGCAGCCTCTTGCTTCCTGACTGAGCTGAGCACGGCCGGCTGAGCAGAGGGAATGGCAGGTACCTGAAGGCGGTTGGTGGTGGCAGCCTGATTGTGGAGAGCACCTTGGCTCCGCTGGGTGTGGACCCAGGGCAAGGCCTCCAGGCTCCTCTTCAGGACTCCCCACAGGCTCCCCTTACCACCCTTGACACTCCAAACCATCAGCCACGCCCACGGCTTGAGATCCCAGCGCCTCCCAGGGCTCAGCCGCCTGCAAGCATTTTCCTGGCCAGTTGTCCTGGGACATGGTTGGGTGGGGCTGCAGAGCCCGACCAGCAGTTCTTCTAGAAGCTTCCCTAACACGGCCTGCCTCCTCCTCAGCCAGCTGCCATGGGGACATGTCCATAAGGTCATGGCTGCGTTGGTGAGTGGCCACTGAGCCGAGCATGCGCAGTGGCTGCAGAGGACAGGAGCCGATTGCAAAGAAACTGGCTGTACTCCTGAGTCCTTGGCACTCTTACTGTGACTGTCCCATTGCCACAGTGCCCACAGAGTGTCCTCGTCTACCAGGTCTACCAGAGACGAGGGATGAGATTTATGGCCAACTCTTCTGTCCCTCGGGACTGTCACTCAACTTGGAGGTTATTCTGTAAACGGGGTAAAATGCACACCTGGGTCTAGGAGACCCACTGAGCACGTGGTAGGGGACAGGGTGTGTAGGGGACAGGGTGTGTAGGGGACAGGGCGTGTGGCGCACTGTCTTTTACGTTGGAATGAAGATACTGACACGTTGGGCCACTGAGAGCCCCTCCTCACGGAGACAAGAGATCTCTGAGGTACCTGGGATTTTGGCTGCTCTGCCGCGGCCCGTCCACGCCTTTCTAAGACGCGGGGAGTGCGTGACTCGACACCTCCATCCTGACAGCACACTGGGGGATGCCCTGGGAGTGGGGTGGTGGGGGCCCAGCGGCCTCAGTTTCCTGAAGGAGCCAGGGAGCCAGGGAGCTGGGAATGTGGGTTGCTCTCCTGGTCTTCAGCGCAGGAAGCCAAGCCACGGGGAGGCTGCAGGACGGGGACACCTCACCCGCCACTTCACGGTGAGGGCTGTCAGGCCCCTGACCTCTCTCCACCCCGGCTGACAGGCAGCTTTGGTGGGAGTCAGGAGGCCATGTCAGCTGCAGCCATTTTAGAGACGAGGGATTTTCAGGGAGAGTGGAAGAGGTGCTAGTAATTGGGGTACAAAAATGGAAGCAGATGTGTCAGACATTACAGCAGGCGGGAGGGAGTCAGTGCCCCCCAAACAAAGGGCCAACGGCGGCTCTCTGTGGCGGCTCTCTTCAGTCTTCGTTCAGCCAAGAACAAGAAGCAAAGGAACCAGGAGAAGGGGCCTCAGCTGTGCTCCTGTCCACTCCCACCTGGGTCCTCAGTTCTTAGAGTTTAAAATAAAAGCAGCAACAGGAACTTAGCTTGGGGCTAAAACTGGAAATAATTCAGGAGGTTCTATTCTTTTGAACATAAGATTTAATTTTTTTCAGGTTCAAATAAACATAGTCCAAAGTACTACCACGATGGCCATGAACGTGAGGAGAGGTGACAGCACCCGACAGTGACCTGAGACGGGCGTTAATTTGGGTGAACGTTCGCGTTTTTTACATATGAAAAATTAGAATCATGGAATTGAGATGTGAACCTCCTGACACAGACCACTCTTCCCTCCTCCACGGCCTGTTTCGGGAGCAAAGAACAAACCTCTGTGGTTGTCAAATGAGAGCCGACTCTGTTCACTGTAACCCTTCTCAGTGAACTCTGCTGTTGTCCATGATTTCTGTTTCTTTTCAAGTTCTCACGACCTATGTGCTCGGTGTTGTACTTATTAACACAGTTTTAGAGGCACTGGCTTCCCAATAACTATGAAAAGATTTCCCCAAACCACTTCCCATGTGATACTTACAATGGACCAACACTAAATGTACCAAGGGCATTAGTGCCTTGGGTAATTCCCCACCCACCTAGAGGAGGGAAGACACAAGTGTCACAGCCGACACTCTTATAATAACCACTATCACCACCAAAAAAAAAAAAAATTACAAATTTATTTAATCAGAGTTTTATGTGAGACTTCAAAAATGAAGATCTGAAGACCCAGAGAGTATTTTCTGTTTTTATGCCTAGGCTAGATGAAGAACAGCTATGCAGAAATGTGATTGGACCAAAGGGCGTGGCCCAAGGTAATGAGCCGGGCCCAGTGTGTTAGTCAGCTTTCTGGTACTATAACAAATTCCTGAGTCAACCAGCTTATAAAGAAGAAAGGTTCATTTTGGCCCAGTTTTGGAGGCTTCCGTGCATGAGTGGCTGGCCGTGTTGCCTATGGTGAGGCAGCAGCACACTAAGGAGGGGAGCACGGCGCTGAGCAACAGGACTCACCTCACAGCCTGGACAGGAAAGGGAAGGCAGGAAGCCAGGGTCCCCGCCCCCTTCAAGGGCATACCCGAGGGTCTGCAAGACCTCCCATGGCCCGCCTCTCATAGGCTCCTGCCTCAGGTGACCATGCCTTCGACACATGGGCATCCAGAGTTTCCAGACCCACAGCAGAATTACCCAGCTGGCCGGTGCAGGTTCTTGTCCTCCCGGGCAGGAGACCTTCGAGGGCTCTGGGGAGGAGGCGAAGGGCCTGAGAGGGACTTCTCTAGGATTCCCTCTTGCTCTGGAGGGTTCCAGTGTCCATGCCCACGGTGGAGGGTGGCTCCTGGCCTTGCAGCTGGGCGCACTGAGCAGGGGCCATGCTCTGAGTGCCAGCGTCACTGACACCGCTCAGCTGTGCCCAGAAAAGTTTTTGATCCCCAAGAAGTTACAACATCAGTCGTGTGTTTTAGTTGCATGCATTATATGTCACAGAAAAAAAAAAAGCAGAGGAAATGGAATCTTGCTTATGAGGTTGATTTATTTTAACTGAAATCATTCTCTAGGGCCCTCGTATCAACACCCCAGGTGAGTTCAGCGACGTAATCAGCATTTGCCGTGAGGCTTGCCCTCTCCCACCGCGACAGTTGTACTGGTCAGGACTCTTGGACTGCAAACTGCAGGGAATTGTTAAACTGTCTCACCCAAAAGAAGTTTCTTGGCCACATGAATGAAAGGGCGGTGGGCTCAGCTATGGCTCCGACACTGAGATCGGATTAATAATGCCTCCCTCCTCCCTCCTGGGCTGACTGTCCCGGGGATGACCGGGACCCAGTGCAGCCCCCAGGCTCTCTGCTCCTTTTAATCAGGGCACTACAAAGCGGGAGGCTGTCTTCAGTGGTCCCGCCGTTCTGTGGTGAGCTCCCAGGAGATCAGCCTGTCCACAGGCTTGTTCTTCAACTCCTCGCTGTGGCCGGGGCAGGCTGAAGCCAGCCCTGGGTTTACTGGTAGGAACAGGAAGGACCGCACATGATGGTGACTGCACAAGGGCCCAGCTGACGGGCAGCGCGGCCCTGGCTACTTATGGCAACCCTGGTGCTCTGGTGGCAGCTGGCTCCATCTGCCTGAAGAAGGGGCATCCTCTGTGTTGGCCATGGCCCGGGCGCCATGGAGTGGCCGAGTGTCCCCTTCCCTCAGCAGCCTGGAGTGGGGGTGGGAGGGCGTCCACCGAGGGAATGGGGCTGGCTTCCTGAAGGGGAGAGCAGGCGGGGGGCAGCAGGACACCAGAGGAGCCCTGCAGAGGAGACGCCACGGCCTGGTAGGTCCTGCTCGGTCTCTCCACTCAGCTCAACCCCACCCCACGGTGACCCTCCCGGGCTACTGGCCCAAGTGTGTGTCGGGGGTAGGGAGGTGCCACCTGCCTCCTGCCATCTGCACCCTGCAGAAAAAGAAAAAGAAAACCGAGACCTACCGTTAAAGAGCATGAAGTATGTGACTTTAAACCATGTCAAGGGAGAAAGTTGTTTTGTTTTTAAATTCTACTTTGTTTTCCCAAATAATTTAAAAGTTGTCATGCAAAATTGAAGACGGTGCATGCTATTTTAGTTGCTTTTTATCAAAATAATATAAGCAAGCTGCTCATCTAGTATGTGTTCAAATATGATTACCCTGTAGAAAACTTACCAAATTAAGGGGTTTTAAGAAAATTATTGTATGTGTCACAGTTATATCAGTTCTGAACCACTGAAGTAAGAGCCTGGTATAGCTCCTGGAAAGTCAGCCCAAGTTTTCAGGAGACTTTCACCCACAATTTAGCTTTATTACTGAATTATAGCTACTAAGTCATGGTTTGTCAAAAACTTGAATTAGCCTTTTATGTCTGTGAGGACCAAAGTCACCCACCCCCAGGGCCACGGGACTTTAACAGCAGCCCCACTGACGTCAGACCAAGGAAAGCACAAGGTAAACACCGAGCGGATAATGTGGTCTGGTGGAGCAAAACCAGGGGCCCGGTGGGGGACGGGACAGTCACCTGGGGTTTGTGTCTGCTTGAGTCTCACAGGGCATGGCCCTCCTAAGTGAAATGTGTCCCCACACCCCAAAACTTCAGCCTGGTTCTTTCTGGATAAGAGAAACGAACGAGCCGGATTTCAGTGACAAACCCTGGGGGAAGGCCCCTCTGCCACCGCGGGACTGGGCTTCCTTCCCGGCCTCCTGCAGCTCCCGGGGCGGCGTGGCCTCCCTAGGTCCTCGTGGGCCCCCAGGCAGGGCAGAGGCCTCCAGCTGTGTAGTGGCTGCAAACGCAATTTCCCAGCCCAAGGTAGCCCTCACCCTCGCTGTTCCCTCCGAGAGGCTCAGGAAGGTGCTGACCCGGTGTTCCTCTGGCCAGAGAGCCTCCTTGTTTTGTTTTATTTATTTATTAAAGAAGTACTTGCAATTAAAACCAAGAATCAGTAAATGGGATGACATCAAGCAAAAAGTTTCTTCTCAGCAAAAGAAACAATCTGTGAGGTGAACAGAGAGCCTATATCCTGGGAGAAAATCTTTACCTCTCACACATCAGATAGAGCACTGATCTCCAGGATATATAAAGAACTCAAAAAGTTAAACACCAAAAAAACAAATAACCCAGTCAACAAATGGGCCAAGGACCTGAACAGACACTTCTCAGAAGAGGACATACAATCAATCAACAAATATATGAAAAAATGTTCATCATCTCTAGCAATCAGAGAAACGCAAATCAAAACTACTCTAAGATATCATCTCACTCTGCCAGCTATTATAAAGACAAACAACAATAAGTGTTGGTGAGGATGTGGGGGAAAAGGCACACTCATACATTGCTGGCAGGACTGCAAATTGGTGCAGCCAATATGGAAAGCAGTATGGAGATTCCTTGGAAATCTAGGAATGGAACCACCATTTGACCCAGCTATCCCACTCCTCGGTCTATACCCAAAGGACTTAAAAAAGCATACTACAGGGACACAGCCACATCAATGTTTATAGGAGCACGATTCACAATAGCTAAACTGTGGAGCCAACCTAGGTATCCTTCAGTGGATGAATGGATTAAAAAAATGTGGCATGTATACACCATGGAATTTTACTCAGCAATAAAAGAGAATAAAATCATGGCATTTGCAGGTAAATGAATAGCACTGGAGAAGACAATGCTAACTGAAGTTAGCCAATCCGCCCCCCAAAACCAAATGCTGAATGTTTACCCTGATATAAGGAGGCTGACTCATAGTGGGGTAGGGAGGGGGAGCTTGGGAGGAATAGACAAACTCTAGATAGGGCAGAGGGGTGAGAGGGGAAGGGAGGGGGCAGGGGGTTAGCAATGATGGAGGAATGTGATGGACATCATAATCCAAAGGACATGTATGAAGACACAAATTGGTGTCAACATATTTTATATACAAGCAGAGATATGAAAGATTGTGTTGCATATGTGTAATAGGAATTGTGATGCATTCCGCTGTCATGTATTTATTTATTTATTTATTTATAAATCAATGAAAAATAAAGAAAGAAGTACTTGCCCCGAGTGAGGCTGCCCTGACTGGTAGGCCGTGGGTACAGAAGAGTCCCCACGTACCCGGACCCTGCACCCTGTTGGTGTCCCCTGAGCGGGGGCAACAGCAGCCCTGGACGTTTAGTGAGGACTGCACAAGATCTGTTGTGCAGAGGTCCCTCGTTTCCCTTCTCACCTTAAACCTCAAGTTCAGAGGTCTTGGATGCTCTGGGGTCGGGAAGAACGGCTGGGGCTCAGGCCCCAGTGTCCCTCAGTGACCCCTCGGTCACCAAACGCAGTGAAGGGCGACCCTCTGTGTTCCTGGGCCACACACAGGGCTCCTTCCAAGCATGTTCAGCATCGGGCAGTGGAAATGAACTCCTACGCCTGCCCCAGCTTAGAGGAGTGCATGACTGCCCCTGGGATCCTCGCATGGTGACATGTCACAGTGGATTTCCTGATGATCCTCCCAAGAACCAGGACCCCACCTCCCTGGCCAGGGTTCACTCTAGGACCATCATCGGTCACCCCGGGGTCCGTCTGCACAAGGAGGACGGCCTGTCTGCACACGGCCCTCACTTTTCTTGTCCCAGGGGCTGTAAAACACAGTCTCAGCCCTAGTAATGCAGCCAACCCAGGGAAAACCTGAACCTCCAACACCAATTCCATCTGCGTGGGGATGAGCAGGAAGCTGCTGCCCGGGGGCTGTGAAGGGGGATCAAGCCCGCACCTTGTAGCACAGTGAGCTGGCCTCTGTTTCTAACTCCAGTGCAAACATTAGACTCTGAACCACTCACCACCCGCCTTTCTTTTCTTGCTTTTAAATATTTATTTTTTAGTTGTGGTTGGACACAATATTTTTATTTTATTTACATGGTGCTGAGGATGAACCCAGGGCCCCGCACGTGCCAGGCGAGTGCTCTACCGCTGAGCCACAACCCAGCCTCATCACCTTCTCCCACCCACCTTGTGGCTGCGGACTCCTGCCCTCGGGCCCCAGTGCGCTGCCTGAGCAGAACCCCCACACGCCTGGGGCAGCGCTGACCACTGCCCGGCTGACCCCGCAGCCTTCCTATTTCTTTGTTTTGTTTTTTCTCTTTTCTTGCAGGGCTGGGATGGCACCCAGGGCCTTGCCCAGCGCCGGGCCGCTAGCCCCGAGCGCCACCCCCCCCCCCAGCCCACAGAGAGGCTGCCTGAGCTGCCAAGGGCAGGGACCCTCCGTTTCTTGTCCAAGTACATTCCTTCCTCACGACCCTGGCCAAGAAGTGACCCTCGACTGAGAATTCCTCTGGTTTCCTTTGCAGTCAGCCTCTCTGGAGCAGGAGAGGGAGCAGGGGTCAGCCAGCAGGGGTGAACTGTGCCTTTTGTTTTTTGGTACCAGGGACTGAACTCAGAGGCACTTGAACCCTGAGCCACACCCCAGCCCTATTTTGTATTTTATTTAGAGACAGGGTCTCACTAAGATGCTTAGCGCCTTGCCGAGCTGAGGCTGGCTTTGAACTCCGGATTCTTCTGCCTCAGCCCTGTGAGCCCCTGGGATGACAGGCCGGCAGCTGGCTTGTTCTTTGATGTAGATCTTTTTTTTTTTTTTTAATGTATAAACACTGCTGAATAAACAATTTGTTAGAAATTCAAGAATTAGAAGAAGCTGAGAGAGCTTTGGCTGGAGTTTTTCTTTCTTTTTTTTTTAATTTATTGGTTTGACTTCAAACAGTAAAAAAACAGGATCGATTATTATTATCATTATGTTATTATTGCCAGTCCTTGGACAGCTGTGAGTGAGGGCATGCTAAATTCCTGGGTGCTCTTTTGAGTTACATACTGAGCCTTTTGTGGACTTCACTACCGTGATGTTCTCTCCCCCTGATGCGGATTAATCCACACCCTGATATCTGTGCCTTGCTGTGGGTGCTAAGTGGACTGGGGTTTGCTGCAGCCTTGGAATGCGCTTGAAGCCAGCTGGGTCTCGGTTTCATTGAGCGTGGAGCTTTGTGTTCACACACAGTTAATAAATGATGGCGTTCATGTAGCTCAAGGGACAGGATGGGGGACACCCAACACACCGCAGGCAGAGAGTTCCCAGGATGCACCTACGGCCAGTCTGGGCCTCTATGAAAGACCAGAGATGGAGGCTCCATGTTCCCCAAGGAGAGAAGATTCTTTAGAAGTGAGCACCGGAATTTCCATTCGGGTGTGGAATGGGTTTAGGAAATTCCTCCAAGTCAGAAACTGTTTTCCCCAAAGTCAGAATTAAGTCCAGTTGCTGCTCCTAGAAGGTCTTCATGGTACCTCCCGATCTCCGCGGTGGTTGGGGATCGGCCATTTCCTCTTTGGAAAGACACCTGGTTTGTCTTTCCCTTGCCTTTCCTTACTTGTCCTTCCGGCATTTCCTTTGCTTGTCCTTGATGGCGCTCTCTGGGGGTTCTGCCTTTGGCTCCCCGCTCTCTGTACTCTCCCTGGGAGAGCATTCTGGGAAATCTCAGGACAACATGCCATGTACTCTCCTGCCTCGGGGCCTTTGCATGCCAGCATTCTCTGCTTAGAATGCTGTTTCCCAGATACAGGCTGCCGCAGTCTGGCTGGGCACAAATCACGAGCCACTGAAGCAGGAACCAACTTTATTTCTGAACTCCCCCAGCACACTCCACACATGCTCCCGGGAATTCTCCTGAACGCCACGTGCTCCTCCAGGAACCACCAACCGGAAAAATCCCTCCTCCGGCACTTCCCCAACCAATGAGAAGTCTTCAGGAATCCCCGCGCAAGAGCTCAACCAGAACTCAAGGGGAACTCCGCCAGAACTCAAAAGTCATCATCTTAAAGGCTCGCTGGCGTCACCTCTCAACCACTATTTCTGGCAAAAATGCCATGCGTCATCCCAACTCGGCTGTGGCCCTCAACATCAGGCCATGTGGCTTTTTTTCTCCTTAGTGTCCTACTCCAATGCCATCTTTCAAGTGGAGCCTCCTGGCTGTCTGTGGAAAATGGCAGGTGTCCCGTCAGGGCTGGGCTGAGGGTCAGGCAAGCGAGGCGCCCATGCAATATTCACAGAGGTACCCTACTATCCTGCAAGCACTGGTCAGTGCTGCAGGGTGAGTGCCCCTCGGGCTTTGCTTGCCTGGTCTGTCTCATCTTTGGGGACATTATCACCACCTTGGTCTCCCCCTGCCCTGCCCCTGCCACTAGAGCCCTGTGGAGGACCGCCCTCGTCTGTAGGGGTTTTGTCATCTCCCCAAAGAGTCTGGCCGTGCAGAGCATGGCCCCTGAGCAGTGCACGTCCTGGTTGAAAGAGCCGTGTGACGAGGACTCCTGCCCTCGGTTTTCATGACTTTCAGTGCAGGGACACCTGTTCTGGAAGTGGGTGTCTCCCTTGGGTGGCCCCCAAGCTTCTCAGATTCACCATGTCCAAAATCGCCCTCTCTACCTCTGCTCCCACCGAGTTCCCTTTTCTGAGGCTCAGCGTTAAGGTGCAGGGATGTGGTGGCTTGGGCTCCTGGGTAAGCCGCTAAGCCGGCCTGGTCCTTCCCACCCCACGGCCCCTCCCTCAGGCCCCACTCCCTCCTCGGCCCAACTCCGCCACCTTCCAAAGATCCTGCCTCCTGCTTCTGCCACAAGGGTGTGGAGTGAGCCCTCTGAGCCACTCTGATGGCGCCATCTCCTCTTCCCAGTCCTTCCCGGTAGCCCAGGGCGCTGAAAGGCAGCTCAGTTTTGTGGACAGGAAAGGCCCTGGGATGCGCCTGCCGGCTGCCTGTCCTGTGCCTCACAGCCCCACCCCATCTCCCTGATCCCGACCCCACACACCCCTGTGCAGCTACCCGGAGGGAATAAGGATATAACCCCACGCAGCTCATCACGCATCTGATCCTGGGAAAGAGGACACTGGTTGTGATGTCACCCGTGGCTTTGCCAGATGAGGGAGGTCACCCAGCCTGTGGGTCGGGAAGAGCTCGGTCACTAGTCCTAGCTTTGGCCTGCAGCAGCCTCCTGGACCTGCTGCCCAGAGGGAGAAAGGTGGGTTCTGCCCAGACCACACAGCCCCAGGCCGCCAGGCGACGTCTCACCAGTGGACAGAATACGGGCCTGCTCCTCCCGTCTCTCCACCACACCTGATTGCTCTTAGTGCATCAGGGGCTCTTATGGCAGAATCTTTATGCAGAAGGTCAAGTTCCCAGAGAGCAACACCACGTGCTCCTGTACCTGTGGGCTTGTGATTCTCAGGGAGGGAGAAGACCTTGTGCTACAGGGGGTTGGGCAGCTGTGCCAACAGCTAGCACGGATTAAAGTCCTAAGAAAATTCATTATGGGACAGAAAGGGGTGCAGCCTGTGGCTGCCTGTGGGCTCCACTCCTGGGTCCCTGCAGTCTAGGTCTGAACCCCCAGGCCTGCCCTGCTCCTCTGCGATGTCTGTCCCAGCCTTTCTCCCCCAGGGCGTCCCCAGCATCTTCAGGACCCACAGGGCTTTCTGGCTGCATGGATGTGTCTACCTGGGGATGGCTTTGCTATGCGGGGGGGAAGGGGGGGGCGACTAAAGGACATTTTCCTTACTTGCCAACTAATTATTCCAACATCCTTAAACAACAACAACAACAAACCCTTTCTCACTGCCTGGTGTGAGGAATTAACTGTTATACATTACATTCTTAAAAAATAGTGGGATAGGGTGCCTATTTTCCATTTGTCTGTCCATTCCTGCACCAGTAACTTCCTCATTTATAGTTTCTTTCCAGAATGTTCTTTGAATTTTGGTACTGAGATTTTTTTGTTGATTTTTAACAGGAAAACCTAGTTAAGAGTTTTTATTGGAGCAATTAGGCGATGCCCGAAAATTAACTTTGAAAAAGCAAAACTCTCATTTTAATTTTCACATCATGAAGCTGGTTAGTTAGCTGCTAGTTTAGGAGTAACCAGACAGTTCCAAAACCATATCGAAAGCTGACGTCAAGTGGTAACCACAGTTTTAAGCCAATCGCTCCACTTCCTCATCTAGCCACCAAGCTCACACACATCTTAAACGCTAATGGAGATGTGCAACAATGTTCTTGCACAATTTCAGTGGTGGATGGGATGTTATGGATGGAAAGTTCTTCCATTTGTCCACCCTACTATTTAGAAACAAAAGCAGCCCCCCTCCTATCCCATGCATCTTTCTTCTATTTTCACCTGGTAACAGTGAAATTCATCTTTAGCTTAGTTTGTCTCAGAATTTATTTTGTGAGACCTTTTAGGCAGCCATAAACTGTATCCTCACCCTCAAGCACTGGCACGATCAATCCCTGTTGTGCATCTAACACGAGGTGCTGCGTACTGCCCGAGGGCCGTGCCGCCTGTGCTGTGTCCACAGCAGCCCACCTGCTTATGCTGTGGGACTAAGAACAGGTACTTTGCTTTTTACCTCGCTTACATTAAATCCCTAGTGCCCCCTTTTTTTTTTTAAATAGAGTCTACTTTCTAATTTAAGCGAAGGGCTTTGCAAGCCCCTGGGGCCAAGATTTCATTCCGCAGCCCTGTAGCTGGAAGCGGGCAGATGATCTGGTTCACTGGTTGCTCTTCTGAGCTTTCTCTCCGGGGCTCCAGGCCCTGTCCCTCTCTGCTGGGGGAGTAGTTAATCATTTTTCTCATAATGTCTGGCTTTCAGTTAATGAGTGCCCAGGTGATCTGATCCAAGGCACGGCTTCCAGGGTTTGTGCAAGCCACTTACGGGAGCCTGAAACTACCTTTCATTTCAGGTGGTGATAGCCGGTAGGGATAACAGAACTTAGTTTACATGATCATGAAGTCATCTAATCCTTAATTGTTACAAAAGTGGATGGAGCTGCTTTTTTCAAATATCCTGAAGCACGGCGGTGGAAGTCTACCCCATCCATCCCTGCAGGCCCTGTGTTTTCACAACTACTTGAGCCAGCTCAGTTTTATACTATATGTCAATCAAAAAAGAAGGGGGAGGGGAGGGAGAAAAGGGAATAAATAAGCCAAACATACCTGCTTGACCCTTGTTGACTAACTTTTGTGCACCCTTCTCTGGCCAGAATCCTGAGCAGGGCAGCTCAGCCTTTCATAACCAAGGACTTCAAGTGAACGCATTCCGGTGCGCATGCGGGCTGCAGAGAAGGGAGCAGAGGACAGTGTCCGCAGGGGGCCTTGGGATGCTACACCTATCGGGGATGCGGCTGTGACTGAGATTCCTTTCTCGATTCCGGAGCTCCCCCTTTGAGACACACCTTTGGACATTTTAATCTGCCAGTTTCCTACGTGTGTCCCTTTCCTGTCCCTTCAGCCCACATCCTGGCCTGCCTGCCTGCCACCTCTTAACCTTGGCCCTGGAGGCAGCTCACAGGTCCTGGCCTGCACACTACTGCTGGGTTCGTGCCTTGGCTCCTGGGACGTTCAGTGTCCTCCCGGTCTGGGCGGTCCGGTGGTCCTGTTCTTCTCTTCAGCCCTGCACAGGAATATCAGAGCACAAGACTTTGGCGGTGTGTGTTCATTTCTCTCGGGGACACCTAGGAGAGGTGTCCACGTGGTAACTGGGTGGACATTTCGAGGACCTGCCACCCTGCTTCCCAGTGTAGCTGCGCCCGCTCAGCGCCCCAGTGCCGTCTGGGTGCTGCTGTCCTCCCGGTCCTTGCCCACAGTTTGTAACGGTTGTCTTCTTGGTGAGTGTGCAGCGGTGGCTCATGGGGTTGACTCGCGTCTCCCTGGTAGCTAAGGGAGGGGAGCCTCTTCTCGGATTGCAGCTGCTCCGTGTCTCCTCTAGAGAAGGGCTATCCACGCCCTTCCCTCCTGGCAGGCGAGTCATTCGTCTTTTCGTGACTGAGTTTTAAGAGTTCTTCACATTCTGAGCCTCCCCAGCCACTGAGATTACAGGTGCATGCCAAAAAACTGAAAAAAGGTCTGGGGATGGAGCTTAGGGGTGAGAACCTCTGGGTTCAACCCACGGTACTACAAATACGAAAGCAAAAACAAAACAAAACCCAAGAATCTCCAGCGAATTGGATAATGGTAGATATCACCATTTTGGATCAGATGCAAACTTTAGAGCCTGTTCCAAAGGAGCAGACCCACAGTGCTTTGGCCAACGTTAACGTTATTGAAATAAGCTCTCCAGGTGCCCTAATTACAGAGGACAGCATAGGAACAGAGGAGTAGGGGCCATAGGTGTGTTTTGGAGCGATACTTAGTAGGTATCTTTGCCCCCAGCAGTCCCCGTTTAGTGGTGTGAGGTGCAGCACCAGCACTGGGTTCTGACCCGAGAGGTATTGCAAACCTCTGCCTGGCCCTGTCTCCCAGCTCCCAGGCTGCCCTGTCGGGGTGCTGCTCTCAGACCCTGGCCCATGATCCAGGCCCAGCGTCAGTCCTGCCCACTGCACACCAGAGGCTCAGGCATGGTCTCTAGAAGGTCCAGCACTCTGAGGCTCACATCCTGTCCAGGCTGTTCCTTGGTCGTTACAGAGCTCAGCTGTCATTGTGAAGGTTACATTGGAGGAGACAGGTTACCCAGGAGCTGGGTGGGCAGAGGGCCGAAGTCCCAGGTGCCACTCACACAGGTCGTGTCTTACATGGATGCTATAAAAAATGTCTGCTATTTGCAGGCAAGTGAAATGCAAGGACTTCCAGGGTGTGGCAACGAATGCCGAGGTTGTAGAATCCCATTGTTCCCTGCCGTCCAGAGAGGAGGACACACCCAGAGCTTTGGCTTCCTGTGTCACGATATGTGAACTCACCCCCGCTGTACCTGGGGGATGTGATGTGATGTGACCAGGTGTGGCTCCAGTGAGTGTTCGCTCTATTTATTCCAAGTCAAACAGCAAAAACGAACAAGAACCCTTTGTAGACTGTCAAAAGAAGAGGTGCATGTCAGCTTTGTGTAAGCCCATCCTTCAAGGGGTGCACGTGGCCTCTGAGCTCTGCTGAGCGGCATGGCCCCCAGGTCTGCTGGTGCCCGGAACAGTGACGGGCGGCCGGGGAGCCAAGAGAGCCGCGCCCACCTGGGCTTGTAGATGAGGTATCTGCGGAAATGACCGCCACCCATTGCTGGGCCAGCAAGTGGTAGCCGCGGGACACCTGCTCTTGTTTCCTGTGTTTCCACTCAGGTATTAACAGTTGCTTGTTTACAAAGCAAAAATTTAATTCTCAAAGCCATTTTTTTCAGAATTCGTATGAACCTCAAGATGGTCAAGAATTGCATTCAGTTGAATACCATAAATCCACATCCAAGTTAAAGGTCAAATGCTGAACACTACTGCTAGGTGAAAAGACACTTAAAAAACAACCGGACTTTTAGGGTTCTGCTAGGAAATCGCAGTAAGACTAGACGTTGTGTGGCAAATCAAAGTGGGGACGACTTTCAGTCTTGCTGTTGATCCAGGGGTGACATCACTAGCAAACCCCCTGGGGAGAAGTTCTTATAGAACAAGAGATTTGAAAGTGGAGAACAAAACTCAAAATAATCCAGCAACTTCCTACTCCTTGACACAATGATCTCCACTTGTTGAACCACAGTGAGAAGGTGAGTGCCCACCTTGGACACGCACACCCACAGCCAGAAAGGCGGACTGTGCTTTAGTCTGTCAACATTGACCGTGCCCAGGTCCCCAGGGTGAGTTCACTTCATTGGTGTTGTCTGCCTAAGCCAATGGGGTGTCTGTCAGTACTGTGTGAAATGGGAACTTAGAGGAGGTAAGTGAGCCTCTGAGGGTGGGTACCATGAAACACCTGGGAACTTACAGGAAATTCAGATGTCCTAACCCAAAACGCGTGTGCCAAGCAAGGTCATCCAGGTGACCCTGGCGCACACTCGTATTTGTGAAATATTGAATTGGGGGACCTGAGGTTGTATGTGTCCGTAAAGCAGGGGTGTCCTGTGCGTGTGTCTTGGGACACCCCATGACATCGATGCTCACTGGGAAGTGGAAGGTGTCCTGAGAGTCCCAGGGGAAGGAAACCAGTGTGGAGTCTTCTTGGTCCGGTTCTCCCGCTGCCGATCACCTTCCTCCTCCTCACATGCGACTCCCTTATGAAGTGCTCTGTGCTTTAGACTCCACCTTCCTCCCCTCCCGGGTGGGTCCACACTGAGAAGGGACAAGGCTGATCCATGGACCCTAGTCTGACTTCTGCAGAACCGAGAAGGGCCCCTTGCTTTCCAGAGCTGTTCCACTGGGCCCACGGACAGCTGCAGGGGATTCGGATCCGAGGCCCTGGGAGGCCCAGGGTGAAGCCTGAGCAAATCCAGACTGTCCTGCCAAGGCCACGTGGCCGGGTCACAGTTCTTCCATTTGCTCTTTTCAGAGGGCTGGGGCCTGTTTTCCGTGTCAGTGGGAATTAAACCCACAGGACACAGCAGTGTGAAATCAAACTCCATGAGGGGCGGTTCCATGTGGCTTAAGAAACACCCTTTTCCTCATTTAAACTTGGATCGCCAGGCAAGAAGGAGATGATTATTACAGATGCAGCTCGCTGTGCCTCTGCATGACGTTCTCCCTGATCCTGGGAAAGAGGACACTGGTTGTGATGTCACCCGTGGCTTTGCCAGATGAGGGAGGTCACCCAGCCTGTGGGTCGGGAAGAGCTCGGTCACTAGTCCTAGCTTTGGCCTGCAGCAGCCTCCTGGACCTGCTGCCCAGAGGGAGAAAGGTGGGTTCTGCCCAGACCACACAGCCCCAGGCCACCAGGCGACGTCTCACCAGTGGACAGAATACGGGCTGGGCCTGCTCCTCCCGTCTCTCCACCACACCTGATTGCTCTTAGTGCATCAGGGGCTCTTATGGCAGAATCTTTATGCAGAAGGTCAAGTTCCCAGAGAGCAACACCACGTGCTCCTGTACCTGTGGGCTTGTGATTCTCAGGGAGGGAGAGACCTTGTGCTACAGGGGGTTGGGCAGCTGTGCCAACAGCTAGCATGGATTAAAGTCCTAAGAAAATTCATTGTGGAACAGAAAGGGGTGCAGCCTGTGGCTGTTCAACTAGTGACTCGTGAAAACTGGACAATTTCAAACTGGTGAAAGAAGCGAGTACATGACATGCAGATGCACGTAACGAGTAAGACCCAGCTTCTTTTCCAAAAAACATATCAACTTGTTCATCAAAAAGGTTTTTAGTGATTCTTAGCCAGATACGAGTCTTGCTTTTAGGGCTTTTAAAACCTGGTTCTCCACCCTCTGCACCTGTTTGGAATCACTGCCAGGAGAGCTGCTGTGTTGATGGGCAAGAGCCGTGTCTGCAGGTAGGTGCGGCAGGAAACGAGACTGGGAAGAAATTGGAAGGCTTTAAACATCTTCCAGATCATCTTTTTATACCACTCCATTTCTTTATATGTGGCACTATAAAAGTAAGCTTCTGCCAGCTGCTGCACTGAGATGCTTACGCAAGACTGGAATTGTGGGTGATGAAGTCACAATCTAAATAACTAACCTCTCTGTTTAGAAGCTTGCGTGATATGCCATAATGTGAAGGTGCAGAGAGGAATACACAACCCCCACCCTCGGCACATTTCCTTCAGGTGTCCATTGGTGGCAGCTGGTCTGAGCCTCTGCTCTGGCCTGAGAGGTGTTTGCTGGACATGGAAGTCCTGGCAAAGCGGGTTCAGCCGGATCCCTATGTTCATCTCCCAACCTGGGACCTGCTCCTCTGAACTCACCGCCCTCAGGTGACAGGGAGAGGGAGCAATGACCAAATGGTGGGGGTGTTAAGCCACCGTTTCAGGCGGTTTGGCTGCTCTTCCTCCCTCGCCGCCGCTTTCTTCTCTCCCTTCCCTCTCTCCTGTTGGACTGGGCGTAGGACTTTAGGTGACAACCAGCTTTCCACTGCTGCACCAATACCTGAGATAAATCAGCTTAGAGGAGCAAAGGTTTCCTGGCTCATGGTTCCGGAGGTCCCCGTCGGCGGTCCCTGGGCCCTGTTGCTTGGGCCTGTGGAGGTGCAGAACACCGTGGGGGAGGGTGGGGGAGGGTGGGGGGGAGGAAGGCTGCTAACCCCCTAGCAGCTGGGAGGCAAGAGAGGCAAGGGGCAGGGCCCCAGTGTCCCCTTCCAGGCACCCCTGTGACCCAGCTTCCTCCTACCGGGCCCCACCTCCTAAGGTTCCACCCCCCAGCGGTGACACAGTTGGGGCCAAGCCTGTAATACATGTGCCTCTGGGTGACCCTCAAGAGCCACACTAGAGCACTCTGTGACTGTTACGAACACATCTGCAGTTTTATGATACTTCTCCACAAGGTTAACTTGAATGACCCCATGAGATACT